TCCTGGAATAATGTTGCAAGTTGTAAGATGGAGAGGTAAACTATCTTCTCTCCTCAGCTAGAAACGGTTAAGGCCTTTTTGTAACTTTCAGCTATAGCCTATCCAACATACTATGAAAGAAAGAAGCAGAGGAGAAAGAAGCAGAGAAAAGTGGAATATTCCATTAATTCCAATCACTGAAAGTACGACCTATAAGTAAATATTTACGTAGTTGTAAACTAGGGAAGAAATAAACTTTTTCTAGTAATAAAAGAAATTTTAGTATTGAACCATATTTTTGAAATAAAAAACAACTAAATATGCTAGCTAGAATCCTTAGAAATCAACCTTCCAATTGCACAACATTAGTAGCCTTCCATAAGACCTGAAACTGCAAGATGGCAAGGCTTGAATGATTGGAGGAATTACCAAAACAGGAAGGGCCACCTGCTATCCTTGATTCCACCTTGTAGGCTTTACCGTGTAGCAGGGGCAGAACCCCCTTAAGGTCAAAAAAAAAAAATCTTTATTAGATAGTTCTTTTGGTAATTTATTCCCCTCCATTTATTTTTTAGTCTTTATTACAAGAATTTTTAGGCAATTCCCCCCCTCTAAAACTTTTAAAATACTATGATCTTTAGGCGATTGCCCCCAACAAATAGTAAAGAGCATTCATCATTTTATTTATTAATTTGAATTCCAAAAATATTCTTATAGGTCGAACCCTGCCAGGGGGCGCTGCCCCCCCGAAAGCAAATAGCTTTTACTATATAGGAAATACCACTGATGGATAAGCCTGATGTTCACGCATATGGTAATTGTATTATATATTTGGGTTGAGCAATGTATTAGTAGGCGATCATTCACTTTTGTTCTTATTCCTTTGACAGGAGTGACAATCACCATGTTAACATTCAATACAACTTTTTTAGCATTTAAATACTTTTTTGGTTGTGTTCTTTTTGGGTTAATTTGACACTGCAACTAATATTTTTAAACTAAAAGATAATTACGAAGGTGTACATGTAGCTGAAAAAGAGGGTAAGGAAAGAAAAATAATCCATGTTTAGAGCCAGGGTTGGACCCCAAGGTTAAAAACTACAAAAAAACAAGGTAGATGCAACTCAAACACAACTTGTCTTAGCATGTCACCCAAGTTGAAATAAGTAAACAATAAGATTCCCTAAAAGGTTGGAATTCAACCAATTGTCAAATAACATTGCGTCCGCCGAGAAGCAACAACAAGTTCTGATGCACTAATAAAACCAATCAATGGTGCTCTTTAATGAGTGAAGATTTCGATTAAGAGTCCTTACCAAACTTCTAACATTCGTAGTGGAAATAGATGGGGATATTATTAGTAGAATTTATGTTGGGTGGTTGAAGTTGAGGAATGCATCAGGCTTGTTGTGTGATAGAAAGACCCCCTCAAACTTAATGGAAAATTCTATAAGATGGTGGTTAGACCTGCAATGCTTTATGGTGCAGAATGTTGGCCATTAAAATAGAAGCATAATATTAAGTTAAGTGTTGCATAGATGAGGATGATCTGGTAGATGAGTGGCTTTACTCTTAGTGACAGGATACGGAATGAGCATATACGTGAAAAGGTTGGAGTAGCTCCAGTGGAAGATAAGATTAGAGAGAGTCGCCTTAGATGGTTTGGTCACATAAAACGGCGTCTTTTCGATGACCCGGTTAGGAAATTAGGTTGTTAGACTGGTCCACTGGTCTGGTCTAACGGTCCATACGGGACTGGCTTATGGGCAAAACAGGCAGACTATTCCGCCTCTCCTGTACACGTTGAACTCATGCTCGAGTTTGAGGGAGCTATTTATGAAGGTTTTTGAGAGAGTTAGGAGGGAAATTTGAATGTATGGACTAGTTAGAGATTTTGTTTTTGATTGTATGCATTAAATAACTTGTTTTCCTAGGGTTAGGGCATCTTGAATTTGCCTGAAATTTGAGATCTGTTTGGTTTCTTTTGGCTCTAGCGGCGTGTAGAGATTTGTGAGAGATAGATCCTCCTCTCGAATAGAGGATCAATTGTATTTTGTTATTTTCTTCTGTTCTATTTCATTCTTGCAATAAAATTATTGTTTTCTTGTTTTCATTTGAGTTTGGAAGAGTTTCTCGTTGTTTTTTATGCAATTGATAGGATTTACTTGAAATCTTCAAGTGTTTCCTATCAAATTGGTATCAGAGAAAATTTTAGGACATTTTGGGGTTGTTTCTGTGAATTTCAACGGCTATTTTTGGGTTGGAGGAACAATGGTTTGCTGTTTTTTGGAATCGAGATTCAAATTTTTAGTTCAACAAAATTTCGGGTATTGATGGCGTCCAAGAAAGTGGTTGTGTTGCAGGAACGTCTCGAAGGGGAGATCGGACAAATGCAATTTCAAATTTTAGATTTACAAATTCAAGTTTCAAATTTAAAGAAAGAAATTTTAGTCATCTATGATAAGATTGATTCAAATTTTTCCATCCCGAAGGAGATGTTGAAGAAAGTGCTTGAGGGCCAAAATTAAAAAAAAATATTGTCGGAGGTGAGGGAAGTCACCGACAGCTAGGAAAGTGGAGAAAACTCTAAGTCAATAAGTCAAAGGGAAGATCAGGGGGTGGAGGCTCGAAAGAGAGAAGAGAGAATACCTTCCCTAGAGCCCATTCCTAGGGAAGAGCTGGGTATAGGGTATGGGGAGAGGCGTGAGGAGTTAGAGCAAGAACGAAAGGGGTGCTGAATTTGAGAGGAAAGGGGTGCTGAATTTGAGAGGGAAAGAAGAAATTATGATCGAAGGGGGATGCATTTGAAAGGAAAGGGGTTTATTATGATCCAAGGGTTGCTGAATTTGAAAGGAAAAGGTGTGAAGTTGATGAAAGTTTTGGGTATGAGCATAGAAGGGATGACTGGGACACTTGGGGAGAACCACCCCCTTGGTGTATGGGAAATTATGGAGGGAACAGTGGGAATGGAGGCGATCCGAGGGCGAGAAAACTGAAGATGTCAATATTTGAGGGGGAGGATGTGTACGAGTGGATCTATAAGGTTGAAAGATATTTTGTCGTCAATGGGTTGATGGAGGAGGACAGAGTGACGACAGCAGGCCTATGTTTGGAAGGGAAGGCTTTGCTTTGGCACCAATGTAGGGACATGTGACGACCCATACGGAGTTGGAGGGAGTTCAAGGATTATTCGGTAGAACATTTTCGAACCGGCAGGGGAGGTGACTTCTACGAGCAGTTCTTCACCTTGACACAGGATGGTTCATTGATAAAGTACCGGATCAAGTACCTTTCTTGCCGATTGGTCCGCCTTTTTGAGATTGTATTAGAGGGAAACTTCATGAAGGTACTGAAATTTTAGATTTGGGTAGCAATTATAGTGATGAGGCCTCGTGACCTGAGAGATGCTATGGATCTAGCTTTGTTGGAGGAGGATCAGAGGCACCTAGAGAGAGAAACGAGAGGTAGAAGCTCAATATGCTCGTACAGGATGACTACCATGGTATTGGCATCTAAGGAGCCAACACCGAATACTCTTCGGGGGACTTCAAAGGAAATGACTTCAGGAGGAAGACCTGAGACAATTTCAAGAAGCTCACATAAACAGAATTACAGGAGAAGAGGGCGAAAGGGTTATGTTTCAGATGTGACAAGAGTTATACACTAGGGCACAAGTGTATTGACCAAACTCTTCAGTTTCTTACCATTTGTGATGATGAGGGAATGAGTAGGGTGTCATTTTTCCACCTTGCGGATAATGTGAGTTTTTGGGAGGGGAGTATTGTTAGACCGATCCATATGGGACTAGCTTACTGGCAAACCAGGCAGATTCTTTCGCCTCTCCTGTACACGCCGAACACACGTCCGGGTCCAAGGGAGCTTTTTAGGAGGGATTTTTGAGGGAGTTAGGAGGGAAACTTGAATGTAGGGACTGTTTAGAGATTTCTTTTTGGATTGTATGTATTAAATAGTTTGTTTTCCTAGGGTTAGGCCATCTTGAATTTGGCTGAAATTTGAGATCTCCTAGGTTTTTTTTTGGGCTCTAGCGGCATCTAGAGATTTGGTAGAGATTGGGAGAGATAGATCCTCCTCTCGAATAGAGGATCAATTGTATCTTGTTATTTTCTTCCGTTCAACTTCATTCTTGCAATAAAATTACTGTTTTATGGTTTTCAGTTGAGTTTGGAAGAGTTTCTCGTTGTTTTTTCCGAAATTTATAGGATTTATTTGAAATATTCAAGTGTTTTCTATCATAGATCTATTAAATTTGACTTATTTTAAGAAGGGTAGAGGTAGACCTAAAAAAACTTGGTTAGAAAATATTAGAAATTACATTTCTTTATTAGATTTGAATGAGAGTTTAACTTTTAACAAGGCACAATGGAGAAAAAGTATTCATGTAGCTAACCTCACATAGTGGGATAAAGGCTTGATGTTGTTGTTGTATATTTTCTAAGTTTCGGTGATGTCTTATTTGCAAAGGGGTACGTTTAAAGGGTCATGCCAATGCTCAAATATTCTTGAAATTTTGGGTATTACTTTAGTTCCGCAAAGGTTAATTCCGACCAACCAAACAGAATTGACTTTGTTCTTATGATCCAATTGGGTATACAAAGTGTTCAGTTTTGATACTATGTTTGATTTATTTTGTGGTTTCTTTCTTTGATAAATTGAAAGCCTGAATATGCATTTTTACTTGCATGTCAATCAAGAATCCAAAAATATGGATTCATTCTCGATTGTGCAATTCCAGTTTACAAGAACCAAATCAAATTTCGTTTTGGTTTGAGTTGAAGTTTGATCAAATGAGTTGTAAATTTGTATTACTGAAAATGATTTTGTTTTGCTGGTTGGTTGAAATGAGCAATCAGGCTGACTGAATGCTCACCCCTCGTCTACTGTCATAGTTTTGCTCGATGTCAAAATGCCTATTAGTTCATTGTCCAAAATAATGGGGCAGTAAAGCATGTGTTCTTGTTGAACGTCATAACAGTTAACAGTATTGATTTTTCATTATTAAGGGCACAGCAGCCTGAAAGAATTGGACCTGTCAAGATGCTCGAAGATCACAGATGCTGGCATTAAGCATTTATTGTCCATTGCAACTTTGGAGAAGCTATGTGTATCAGAAACAGGATTGACTGCAGATGGAGTGCTCAGCCTATCTTCTTTTGTAAACCTCCGTGTGCTGGATCTGGGAGGGATTCCTGTTACTGATACTGCACTATCATCTTTACAGGTAAATTCAGATATTCAAATAAAGCATCTATGTTGTTCGTGTGAATGATAGAGAGTTAAAATTATTCTATTATTTGATTGTAGCAGTGGTAGCATTTAGGATAGACATCTATTGTAAATAGATTAATGATTTTCCTTTGATGGGAGGTTGGGGAGTGTGGAGATCTAGAACTCTAGAAATGGAAGTAGAAAAAATTACTTTGAATTTTATTGCTTGATTCTATAAAAAATATGAAAGTATGTATAAGTTTCTCCAGAAATCTTAAATGGAAATAAATTAAAGCTATATATTTTAAGTAGAAATTTCAACTAGTTATTTAGTCCCACATCTATTGGGTGCTTTGTCTTGTATTGTTTATATAATTTTTTTTTTTGTTTTTATGGGTTAAGAGCTCACATGGGGTGGTGGGACCATGTTAATATGAATTGTTGGTGGTTAATTGTTACATAATTATTATAAAAATTTCAGCTCATTATGAAATAAAATGAGTTACATTTAAATTAATTAAATATTTAATTAAATATTTTATATTACATTAAATTATTTGAATAGATGATTCTATTAGAAGTATGAAAGTATATATAGATTTCTTCAAAAATCTGACCGTGGAAATAAATTAAAGCTATATATTTTAAAGTAGAAATTTCAACTAGTTGTTTAGTCTCACATCTATTGGGAGGAGCTTTGTCTTGTGTTGTTTATATAGTTTTTTTTTATAGGGTTACGAGCTCACATGAGATGGTGGGATCATGTGAATATGAATTGTTGGTGCTTAATTTATAAATAATTATTATGTATATGTAATTGAATTTTCTTAGAAAATTGTAGTCAAAATCACTTAAATCACATTTAAACTAATACTTCCCATATCAACCTCGATAAATCTGATTTATGGACTGATGTGAGATAGATTATTTTTTTAACTAATCTATGATATTGTCTCATGTCTATTTTTTCTCTTTTTTATCTCTGTCCAATTTTTGACCTTGTTCAAATAGAGTTTACTAGGTTTACAATTACTCATTTTTGTTTCGAGATATTTTAATTAAGAAGAATATTTTTTGTCCTGATTGAGCTACTTCTATTCCCAAGAAGTATTTGAGTTTACCCTATGTTTTGATCTCAAATTCTTCATCAAGCTTTTTCCTAAAAGAATCTCTTCTTTATTATCATCTCCTATGACATTTATATTGTCAATATGATGAGAATTAAAATTTTATCATCATTACAATATTTTATAAAGAGGATATGATCTTCATAGCTTTTGTGAATATACTAAATCATGCTCTTGGAGATTGTTTAAGGCCATGTAGAGCCTTTCGTGATACACAATCTATTCTTTATGAAAAACTAGCAAATCTAAGCGGTGGATCTATATAGATTCCTTTAACATCCCCATGTTGGAAAGCTTTCTTTATATCATATTGCCACATTAATAGTTAACAATTAGCTGCAAGAGAAATTGGGATATGTATTTTATTCATTTTTACAATATGGGCAAAAGTTTCTTGATAATCAATTTCATAGAATTGAGTATAGTTTTTGGCTAACAATCTTATTTCATACTTTGTCAGGCTTCCATTATGTACTAAGAGAGTGGATATAGAGGAGAATATATTGTGATGAGTTGATCATTGTTACTTGATAATGGTTCTGAGCCATGAGCTTGATGAAGATTTGATTGGGCTTATTCCTTTTTATGTGGACTTGAAGTGGTACAATATCTAGATTAGTTAGAGCTTTTGTTATAAAAATATCAAGATGAAAGATAGGTGTGCCATTAAATTTATCTTCAATTTTAGAGTTCTTACCTTGAAGATAAGTTTGATCAAATGAACTTTGCTTCTCATCAAAGATGATATCTTTTGAATGAACAATTTTTTAGTAGTAGGATTATAATATTTATAGCCTTTTTGAGTGGATGAATCCCTAATAAGGACACATTTGAGAACTTTTGTGTCAAGTTTACCCTTGTAATTTTTGTTAACTTGGATATAGGCAATGCATCAAAAGTTTTCTGGAGGAATTTCTTAGAGATTGTTTATGGGGAGTATGTCGTGATGAATTGATCATTGTTACTTGATAATGGTTCTGAGCCATGAGCTTGATGAAGATTTTGATTGTACTTATTCCTTCTTACATATATATTTGAAGTGGTGCAATATGAAGATTATTTAGAGTTTTTTTTTATAGAAATATCAAGATGAAAGATAGGTGTCCCATGAAATTTATCTCCCATTTTAGAGTTCTCCCTTTGAAGATAAGTTTGATTGAATAAACTTTGCTTCTCATTAAAGGTGATATCTTTTGAAATGAGCAATTTTTTAGTAGTAGGATTATAATATTTATACCCTTTTTTGAGTGGAGGAATCCCAATAAAGACACATTTGGGAGCTTTTGTATCAAGTTTTATTATTTGTGAGTATAGACATCGATTCAAAAGTTTTTTGGAGGGATTTCTTGGAGAAATTTGTTTATGGGGAAGAATTCAGCTAGATAGTTTATAGAATATTTGAAGCCAATCACTCTTGATGATCTTCTCTTAATTAGGCATGTGGCAGTCAAGGCTATTTCTCTCCAGTATCTTTTGGCATTTGATTATGGAAGAGAAGAGTCTTGGTGACTTTAAAAGGTGACAATTTTTACTTTGCCATTCCATTTTAATTTGCGGGTGTTAGGACATGAGGATTAGTGGATGATATTTTCTTTTTGGAAGAAAGATTATAATGTTTGATTAAATTAATCACAAGTATTATTTGTCAAAAATATCTTGATATTAGTATTGAATATTTTTTCATCATGATAGTAAAAATGGGAAGAATTATACTAACATCTGATTTTGTTTAATAATATATACTCATGTCATCCAAGTGCAATCATAATTGAAGATGATAAATTCTTTAGCTTTAGAAATATTAGAGATTTTTTAAGATCCCAAAATGCTAGATTGTATAATTAGAAAAAGAGTAAGTAATCTATAATCACTTTAAGGAAAAATAACATGATGAAGTTTGACAATTTCATAAGTTTCTTCATGAAATCTTTTATGTTTACATTAAAAAAAAAAGAGAGAGAAAGAAACATATATTGTAGGGTTTTGAAAATAGGAATGCCTAGCTTGTAATGATATTATCTTCAAAAAGATATAGCCCATCATATTATCTAACTTGCCCAATCATCATCTCATAGTGAAGTCCTGAAATGTTCAATGATTATTACAAAAAAATCTTGTAGTTATGGTTTTTAGTGATTATGGATTAATAGAAAATTTATTACAAGATGAGGAATACTTAGTACATTACTGAGGATGAATGTCGAGAAAATTGAAATATTTTTTTTGGCCTGCAATTATTGTTAAAGAATCATCGAACAATTCTATTTTACTATTGTTGGACAGAGTTTGTAGGTTTGAAAAGGGTTTGACAAGATTTTCATGTGATATGTGACGCCACTATCTAAAATCCAGTTGTGAGTGGAATCATTAAGGCATTGAAAATATAAGAGATAGAAGTCATATTATTTTAAGCTTAGACAATATAATCTAGATGATTTTTGCTTGAAAGTTGAAGTTTTTGAGCATGTTAATTTCTTTTGATTTGATCCCCCTTTGATTCACAAGACAAGTTAGCCCATTTTGATGTTCTTTCTTTATTTCTAGTATAGCCTCAGGGAAAGTTTCCATAGAGTTTTCAGTATTATTTTATGTGTTTATTTTTATTACAGTATTTGCATCATAGATTACCTTTGAAAGAAAACTTTTGTCATTATTTATGGAAAGAGTCTATAGCATTAATTCTCTTATCTTGAGGCTTGATGGTTATCATTATAGATGTTTTGGAGATCTCAATGTCGAGCATTACCATTCTTCCTTTAGTTTATATGAGAGAAAAAACCTCATTTAGTGATAGTAAGTTTTCTCGGCATAAGATTTAGAATATGAACTTGGCCGAAATCATCATTGGGTCATGTAAGAATCTCACACACCTTTTGCTTGTAAATTATCACATCATTGTATCATGTCGTTTTGAGATCTTGGTAATAGTACAGTTCAAGCCAATAAATTTCCATTTCATTGAAGTACTCAATAATAAGATTTGTATCTTGCTTGATTGTTAAAATTTTAATTTAAATCTCATTGATGAGGGCAACATTTTTCAATTTTGAGCATGTTTGTTATATGGCTTCTCAAATTTCTTTTGTGATAAAGAGGAACATATATAATAGCCCATTGATTTTAAGCATCATGGTACTCCATAACTATTGTGATCAATGAATCTGCTTCATCACAAGGTACAAACTTTGAATTTTCAACTCCGAGGGAGGATTCACAAGGTGATATGTCTCTCTTTAATTTTGGAGAGGACTTTACAATTTGAGACTACCCCAAATAATTTGTCATGTTCAAGCTATTTGCGGCTTGTTGCCTAAAGAATTCTCTCTTAATCTAATTTTCACCATTCAGGATTTTTGATTCCTTGGAATAGGGCTGCAAGCGAACCAAACGTTCTACGAGCTACTCGTTGTTCGGTTCGATTAAAGCTCGTTTGAGATCGTTTAATTAACTAAACAAACAAACTTGAACAATATTTTAAATACTCGATTCTTAAATAAAATAAAGTGAATGAAGAATTTGAAGGAGAAGAAAAGAGAACAAGGTTTGGGAAAAAGAGACTCTAACATCGCTCTAATACTATGCATAAATATACAAAAAAACTACTTAGCATTTTACTACTTGATTTTGTATGAAGTATAGAAGTGTATATAGACTTCTACAAAAGTCTTTGAATGAAAAAAAAAAAAAGTCAAAGCTATGTATAAAGAAAAAAAGTACTCATGAGGGTGCAGCAATTAGAAGAGCAAGGGGTGACACATGGGTTGCAACCAAAGGGCCATAAAAGGGTCGATCCAATGATTAGAATTCTTAATTCATGTGCTCAAGTATCTCTATCAAGATTGGTTGATTTGTGGGTCCCATGATATTTAACAAAATTCTTATTTTGAAAATGGAAAATTAGACAAATTACTTAGTTTCACTTATTTACCGTGATTGTTATTTCTTAAAAAGTCCTACAATTTTGTTATTCATTCTTATTGTCACCGAATTCTTAAATATCCTTGCTATTTTCCTGCAGGTGCTGACACAGCTTGAGCATTTGGATTTATGGGGGAGTGAAATTTCCAACGTTGGTGCTGCTACCTTCGAAAAGTTTCCAATGTTGCGCATTTTGAACATTGCTTGGACCAAAGTTACCAGAATGCCTATTCTTTCTATTGCTTGCTTAAACATGAGCAACTGCACTATTCATTCTATAGTTGATGGAGATAACACAGCCACTGCTACTTTGTCAAAGTTAATCATTACTGGAGCAACTTTTATTGATGCAGATCAAGTTTTTTCCATTCTCCAATTAAGCTGCTTGAAGTTCTTGGATATATCTTGTTCAAACATTGGCAGCTTCAACTTCTTAGTTAACTTGCGAAACCTTGAACACTTAAATCTTAGATATAGCCAGATAACAGATGGTTTAATGGAGCAAGTAGCATCAGCTGGAGAGAAATTGAGATACTTAAATCTCAGCAATACCAAGATAACCTCTCATGCATTATCGGTGTTAGTTGGATGTGTTCCAAACCTTGAAAATATATCTTTGTCCCACACATTGGTTGATGATACCTCTCTTGCATATATCAGCATGACATCATCTTTGCAATTAGTTGACTTGAGCCATACAAGAATTAGAGGTAAGTGTCTCTTTACTATAAATGATTTATGGTTGCCCTATAGAAGGGCAAATTATTAGGTCCGGTCATCGGACCTAATTTTTCGTCCGGATTCCTTGCGCTTTTCATGCGTTTTATTGCGCTTGTGATGTATTTTTGAAAAGGGCAGTTAATACACAATTTTAATTGCATATTAGCTGTTTTTTCCTGCCATTTTACTGAGTATTTGAAAGCGCAGAAAAGGGACAACAAATACACAATGAGTAAGATATTTGTTGTGTTTTTGTTTTATTTTTTCAAATACTCAACAAAAAAGCAACTAATATGTAATTAAAATTGTGTATTAGCTGCCCTTTTTCAAAAATACATCAAAAGTGCAGTAAAAACGAATGAAAAGTGCACCAATCCGGACGCAAAATTAGGTCCGGTCAATCCGGTGACCGGACCGAATAATTTTCCCTATAGAAAATAGAGTACTTGAATATGCTTTAATCTTATTGTTTTGCGATAATGCTAGGCTTTGTTGATTCTGGCAGAGAGAATTCAGATAAAATGCTATCTCTTAGTGCACTTCAGAATCTCACTAACTTGAGAAGTTTGAATTTGGAAGATACAAAAGTGATGGACGAGGCTCTTCAGCCCTTATCTCTTCTCACAGAACTGGTGTGCTTATATCTGAAAAGTGATTTCTTAACTGAAATCTCACTCCATGCCATTGCTTCTCTCCAGAAATTGAAATTTCTTGGGTTTCGTGGTGCCGTGCTTACGGACTATGGCCTTCTTTCTTATAGACCACCTCCATTGCTTTGTGTATTTGATCTTCGAGGTTGTTGGCTTTTGTCAGCCAATGCCGTATCTTCATTCTGCAAAAAATACCAGCAAGTTCAGGTCAGACATGCTCATGTCAACAACCCATTTGAGGATGAAATTGTTTCTTATGGTTCATCTGCATCTTTCATAACTACTAAAGTACCGCTGTCAAGACCCAGAACAGTGAAATCATCTAATACTTCATTTGTAGGTGAGCCTAAAAAATGCACCGAAATTCTTAAACTTGCTGCCTAAGTTTTTGTTTATTTGCTGTTGCCATGGAGAATTTTTTCACTGATTTTAAATCTTCTTTCTCAACAGATGAGAGAATGAAGTATAGCACAGAAGAATTATTGCAGTTGGAGAACTCCACTGGACTTAGCTTTATGCTAAAAGATCTAGATCTGTTACCTGAGATTTTGAGGAAGTAACGATCATGCAAATTCCTTACCCTCTTTCAGTCTCATTTAGTGTTCTAGTACTTCATGAAGTTGTCAATAGAATAAACTATACTCACTATTGGTTGTTGGTGGAGAAATTTTGTTTAACTTTTAATCCCACCGCAGTGGCATTGATAATGTGAGCAAGTCAAGTTTTCATTATGTTATTGGTTTTCTAACGCTTTCTTGTTACCCATTGATTCTTGCATGTTTCATGAGTTGAGAGGCTTGATTTTCTGATCATTATAGCTCTAATAAGGTCCCAATTTGCAGAATTTTGCCTCTGAGAAAAGCCTTAATTGGGTTTGCAAATATTCAATTTTATTGAATTGCAAGATGTGCATGAATCTAGATGTCCTTTGTTAGTTTGTGTTGAGTTTGATTGTGTTGATCAATCAAGTTGTATTGCCGCCTCGGATCTCAATTCAGTATGTCATGCATGTTGGGTCCTCCCCTTACTTCAGTTTGGGTGCCCCGATGATGTGTACCATAGCGCCTCAGTGTTACATAGTTTGCCTAAAAGGATAGATCAAAAGCATTGCAAAGTTCCTAACTCTGATTCTATCGTGCAGATTGAAGTTAGATAATGGAAGCACCACAATGCTCCAACTTGGTGTGAAACATGTTGACATTTTTTCATGTATTGCTGCCTCAGATCTCAATTCAGTATGTCATGCACGTTGGTGTCCTCCCCTTCAGTTCGGGTGCTCCGATGCTGTGTACCCTAGCACCTTAGTGCTACATAGTTTGCCTAAAAAGATAGAGCAAAAGCATTGCAAAGTTTCTAACTCTGATTCTATCGTGCAGACTGAAGTTAGAGAATGGAAGCACCACAATGCTCCAAGTTGGTGTGAAACATGTTGACATTTTTTCATTCTCGTTTTTCATTAAGGGTTACGCTTCTTAGAGATTTTTTGTGATCTTTCTTCATTTTTTCTCGTGTAAGAATAGTGCAAGGTTGGGTGTAGAGATATAAAAAATAAAGAGAGAAATTTATACTATTTTTTTCATTTTTTCATAATGAATTTTTTGATGTAATGTTGTAATTTGTTTCTAGTTTTAAATTTTTTCATACTAAATCTTGATATTCTTTTATTTATATTATTTTATTTTTATTTTTTACTTGTTTTGCTGCGAGTTTTACTTCCATCCAACATCCTTGTTGAGATCCACCGGAGAGGTAAATCGCCTCTCATTAGAAGCAAAATTAAAGTTGATTATATTATTTTTTTTTATTTGTTTTGCTGAGAGTTTTACTTCAAATCCAACATCCTTGTTGAGATCCACAGGTGAGGTAAATCGCCCTCATTAGAAGCAAAATTAAAGTTGATTTTCTAATATATTTTTTGTGATACTTACATACCAACACATTTTTTATTTTTATTTCATGAGTTCCTAACTACTAAAATTAATATTATGTTGAACATCATTCAGTCCTCAACAACTAAAAATTATTACGTCTGGATAAAATACCGAGCATATTGAGTGTACTTAGTGCGGTATTGAGTGTTGTACCGAGCATGATACCGAGTACTTGAGTGATGTGGCGTTTTGTTATTCGTCTCTGGATGCATTCAGTGTCCGGACATAATGATTACTCCCTCACAACAGGCAGGTAGCAGTCTGTCCTTATAACGGGTAGATATCAAAGCTAATTAGAATAATTTTTCTTTGGGTTATTTTGTACTGCCTGTTTCTTTTGAGAGTATCTAATATGGTCAAGTAATTTTAAAGTGCGAATGACTTTTATTAGAATTTAAATGGTTGATTAGATTCTTATTGTACAAAATAGAAATAAGGGGGTTTACGTAGCACATAAAATTTTCTCAAAGGATTAATATGAATCATTTTTAAATTTATAGATTGAGAGTGGTGCTACAATAAGTTAATGGTTCTGATTCTAGCCACCTCATATAGGTGAAATTCATGTCTTGGGAAAAAATGTTTGGCTCGTGCTAGAGATTAGGGGTGTCAAAATATGATCGATTTGAAACCCGGCTCAGACTTCACCCGAAAAATTTTGGGTTCAAGTCAACACGTGTGCCATACGGGTTGGATTTTGGGTTCGAATTTTTATTCTTTTTTAAAATCGGGTCAGGTTCAGGTTGACTAGGTAGTCCAAAATTAACTCGAATTTGACCCATGGGCCACAGATCTGTGCTATGAGGTAGTCCCGAGTTTGGTTCCAGTCCAGCTTCCCATAAGGCCGCACTCTACATAGAAGAAGCATGGCTAGTTATATATGCAGAAAATATATAGTAGAAAAAAAATGAGGGAGGTTACACACATATGTATATATATTACCTTCAAGAGGGAAAATGATGTAGTCCAATGTAGGTATGCCAGGTATAAATTTAGAGGAGATAATTGAATTATTGTAAGGACAAGTACACAGCCTTCATAATTATTCTTTTGTTAGAATCAATCATAATTCTTAAACCAATGTCACTGAATGGTTATACAAAGATGTAATGCTTCTTATTTTTATGTCTTACGAATATTAGTTGACATTGTTGTAGCTGAGTTTGTGTGACATGTTAGTTGTGATCACTCTTTATTTTATCTACCCAACTTGCACATATTTGAATCTTATTCAAACATTAATCAAGACTATTTTAGATTGAATTTGCTGTGTTATATTTATATGATCGCTCTCTAAGTTTGTTGAATTATGTTAAGCATGTAAAGTCCGTATAGGTTGTTAACCCTGCATAATTGTCCCAATGCTAACTAAGAGGGGGGTGGGGGTGGGGGGAGTGAATTGGTTATTTTAAAATCTCTTGGTAAATTTTAGGAAAACCGTTTAATAATTTAAAAAAATTGTTTTTCTTTTAAAATATACTTTTCAACCACAAAACTAAATTGCGGAGAATAAAATGCGGAAATGTAAAATGTATACAATAATTTGTAGTGGTTCGGTCTTTTTTTTGAGAAGATGCATATAGCATTTAAAATGAAAAACTATTACAAACTAGAAAGCAAAGGACCAAAGTAAGCCCTTTGAAACTATCATAATGGATATCAGATCTACTAATTCCCATTTTAAATCCATTGGGGAGATTAGGGGTGTCAACATTTGACACGACACGAAAACCCGACCCGGACCCGACCCTGAAAATCCGGGTTGAACCCGACCCGATTTCAAAACGGGTCGGGTTCGGGTTCCAGAAATCGACCCGTTTCAAAAAACGGGTCGGGTTTGGGTTGACCCGGCGGGTTGCCGGGTCAACCCTCCACAATTATCTTGAGATAGAATATCAAATTTGTTAGTAGTAACAGCCAAATCTGGATGTTTCATAGAATCTAAGTTCTTTCCAGCTTTCCAAACTTTCTCAGTAATTTTTTTAAACTTCACATTCAACCATGGACCAAACTTTGCTTCTGATTTGCCAATATTCCTTCCCAATGTCTTCTCAACCATATCAGCCTTCCCATTATTCTTCACTTCTAAAAGGTCATTAACATTTTCAGCCATCTTGCCATCAACACATTCATGAAGAACATGTCCTATCTTGCCACAATTAAAACAAAAAGAAAAAAACTTTTCATATTCTACTTTCTGAAAGAATTTTCCATATATGCCTTCAATCCAAATTCCATGAGATAATTTAGAATCCAGATTAATACGCACACAAGCTCTTGCAAACTCCCGTCTTCCCCATTTGAACATATTTCCATCAAGAAACAAAGGAGTACCTATCTTAGAGACAATTTTTGTAACATTCACCTCATCCCAACAATGAAGAGGTAGATGAGGCAATCAAATCCAAATTGGAGAAGATAGACCTTTCAAGGACAATGGAGAAAAATTAGGCGACCATTTGTCTAAACCAATTATATGTCCTCCTACATACCAAGGTCCTCCTCTGAACACCTCCTCCATAGCATGGGATGATTGGAAGGAGCATAAAATCTAATCAAGACCCAATGAAGTAATATGAAAGTTTCCAAATTTACTCCATTGACGCCTTAATTCAACACTACAAAGGGAAAAAGGAACATTCCTACCAAACACCTTTATCACCAAAGATTTTTGTAATAATTGAAAATTCTCGCATTCCTTTTCACTGTTTAATTTCACAATACCATCATCTTCTCCATTGCAAGGATTGAGTTCTAAGTTAAGAACTCTAATATGCTTGTTTTTCCCCCAAGCATTCTCAGAATTTTTAAAAGGAGAAACTTTAGGTTCTGAAACTTTTTCCACATTAGCTGCCACCACTATCTCTTGAATATCCGATGCATTAGAATTCGAAATATCATTTGAATTCTCTGAAATTAGGCTTTCCTGAATATCAGGTACAGGATTATTCAAAAAACGATTCACCTTCAAATTGAAACCAGAAGATGTAGATGCTTCACAATCATTCATTTGGTTTTCAAAACCTGAAACCAAATTAATCGGAGGCGATGCAAGGACACACCTTGAAGAAGCTGTTTTTTCCTTATCACTCTTGATCAGAGGAGATTTTTCCTTACCTTCCACATAAGCAGGAGCTTTAACCAGAATAGTACCTCCTTCATTGATTGTCAACGAGCGTTGTATCATCCTTATGATTCGCAAATCATCCTGAACCTCATCTATTCTACCTTTTGTTCCCCAACGATGGTTAGGAATCCTAGTAGTTGTAGTGGTTCAGTCCAACAAGACCTATGTCCACTCCCTGAAGACTCCCTCTTCATGTACTGCACTATTACCAAAGTGACTCTCCCCACAGCAAGACGGATAAGCCTTTATAATTATCCTCTCTTTCACCAATCCCCTGGTGCGGTAGAGTACCGTTGTCCTTTCACATTATCTAAGTGTCATTAAAGTAATGTCATCCTTTCACACATTCTAAGTGTTGGTAGAGAACTGTCATCCTTTCACACCCTCCAAGTGTCGGCAGAGAATCGTCGTCCTTTCACACCCTCCAAGTGTCAAAAGAGAATTAAATCTTCTCCAAAGATCTTCTCTCGAGTAACTAGAAAGAAGAAAGGAAGAGAAGTGACACAAATACAAAAGAGATTCTTACCTTTGAAAAACCTTATAATCCCTTCACACTCCACTTGCAAGAACTCTCTCTCAAACACTCTCCCAAATCACTCTTTCACTTGCTCTCAAGGAAATCACGAAGACAAGATTAGTCCAAGTTAGTTTCTAATGACTTTAATATGAATGATATGAAAAATCGTCCAGAAAATTGAAAATTTTAA